TGTATTTTATTCAAAATTTCACATTTAAAGTATAAACATTTCTAAATAAATATAATATTACAGTTTGAACTGTAAATGTATTATTTTAAATTTAGGAAGTTTTGCATAGATGCACAGAATGTTACAATACAAAACTATACATGCAGGATTCAAGTATAGAAGTTTACAACTAAGTAGAATATTTTGTCATAGATCAGTGTGTTAATTAAACTTTGTTAATAATTGGAACATTGAATCATGAACAAAGATAGCACGCTAGAGATGTCTGGACTTAGAAAGCATGTGAGTTAGCTGAGTGCAGAAGCAAGTTTCTTTTAATAATAATAGCATTTCAAATTATCTTTATCATGTTTAATTAAAGGCTTATCATTATCAGTGTATATAAGCCCTGTTGTGATAGGCCGATGCTTCCGCATTAAAATCCCCACAAATGAGAAGCCTATTAACCGGGATTTCTCCAGCTCTTTGAGCCAGTCCCAATGTTCATTTGTGACAAGAGATTCAACAGCAACGTAAACATTTACTAAATTCCAGAGTTTTCCTCCGTCATCTATTTGTATACCCTGAACCCCTTATGTACTATGATTCCACTGGTCCAGATCAAGAACCACATACTTCACCCCATATGCTTCACATGTGGTGGTTGTAACTGACTCACAGAGCATGTTGAGAAAGGTGGAGACAGGTATGATCCATGCAGAGTGGCAAGCATCGATTCAGAGGTCCCGATTTGTTAGCATCTTTTAGATATTCTCTCCAAGTAATGCCGGTGTGTTGGGAAATGAGCAGGTAGATAGACTGGCCGGTTCTGCACCACTTGGTGGTGAACTAATGTATGACAAGCTGGATGTTGTGAGGGCCCTCTGGGAGCAAGTGAACAGTGGGAAGGGCAAATAGATCATTATGGTCGAGGAGAATGGCGCTGTGAGGAATTGTCAAGGGGATCTGGCCGATGCTCAAAACTCTAGGGAGAGGTGAGACGGATGTACAGTCAGACAGTTACTGGTGCCATTGGAATTGGAACTCTTGGTTTGCTGCTGAAGATGGGGACAACTGCTTATGGGAGTGTCCCGGGTGCTATGATTCTTAATTCAACATTCAACATTTTAATTAAAGGAAAGTAGTAATTTTATTAGAGGAGTGGCTGGCTAAACGGTTAGAATGCTGGCTCTCATGTGGGAGACCCGGGTTTGAATCCTCGGTAAGGCCGGTGATTTTTCTGTTTAGGGGCAAAATAAAATCCTCACCTGCACAGTCATGGCGACAGCACTAGCCACACCGCTGTAGATCCTCAGGCTCAAAGACCTCCCTGGCTACACCACACAAGTTGTATATAAAGGCAGTAATTAGCAGTTTTGGCACTAATTTTTATTTTGCAGATACTTGGCAGTAATAGACAGTAACAAAATCGATAGTGCATAAGTCTCATAATCTCTGAAAGCTGTCTTATTTATTTGCTTGTTGTATCTGGATTATCTGTTTATATTGTCGTGTGTATCTGGATTATCTGTTTATTTTGTCATGTGTATCTGGATTATGTGTTTATTTTGTGGTGTGTCACAATATTTGTGTGCTTGTTATCATTTCTGCAGTACATTTGTAATTGGATATTTAAATAATTAGACTGATTTGATTGTGGCCAAGACAATAAATACAGTAATAAAAACATCCATTAAGCAAAGCGGTCATCCAAACAAACTGCATTGTGTCTTTCCTTTACAGGATGTTGCAGGACCAACTCCAGCATTTTTCTGGCTGTACTAAACAGTGTTACGTTCATTAGTTCCCCATTGCTGGTTGTACGGGGTTATGTTACGTTCATTAGTTCCCCATTGCTGGTTGTACTAGGCAGTGTTACATTCATAAGTTCCCCATTGCTGGTTGTATCAGGCAGTGTTACGTTCATTAGTTCCCCATTGTACTAGGCACTGTTACGTTCATTAATTTCCCATTGCTGGTTATACTAGGCAGTGTTACATTCATTAATTTCCCATTGCTGGTTGTACTAGGCAGTGTTAAATTCATTAGTTCTCCATTGCTGGTTGTATTAGGCAGTGTTAAGTTCATTAGTTCCCCATTGCTGGTTGTACTAGGCAGTGTTACGTTAATTGGTTCCCCATTGTACTAGGCAGTGTTATGTTCATTGATTCCCCATTGTACTAGGCAGTGTTATGTTCATTGATTCCCCATTGTACTAGGCAGTGTTATGTTCATTGGTTCCCCATTGTACTAGGCAATGTTACATTAATTGGTTCCCCATTGTACTAGGCAGTGTTACGTTAATTGGTTCCCCATTGTACTAGGCAGTGTTACGTTAATTGGTTCCCCATTGTACTAGGCAGTGTTACGTTAATTGGTTCCCCATTGTACTAGGCAGTGGTATGTTCATTGGTTCCCCATTGTACTAGGCAGTGTTATGTTCATTGGTTCCCCATTGTACTAGGCAGTGTTATGTTCATTGGTTCCCCATTGTACTAGGCAGTGTTATGTTCATTGTTTCCCCATTGTACTAGGCAGTGTTACATTAATTGGTTCCCCATTTAACTAGGCTGTGTTACGTTAATTGGTTCCCCATTGTACTAGGCAGTGTTACATTCATTGGTTCCCCATTGTACTAGGCAGTGTTCTGTTCATTGGTTCCCCATTGTACTAGGCAGTGTTATGTTCATTGGTTCCCCATTGTACTAGGCAGTGTTATGTTCATTGATTCCCCATTGTACTAGGCAGTGTTATGTTCATTGATTCCCCATTGTACTAGGCAGTGTTACATTAATTGGTTCCCCATTGTACTAGGCAGTGGTATGTTCATCGGTTCCCCATTGCCTCGGAACAGTCAGCTCTCAATGTCCCTTTCAAAAGTGGTCTCCTGTCAAATCACCTACATTTGGAATCAAACCTGGTGTCTCATGTCTCAGAATTATGAAGTGTGTTTGGCTGTGCAAGAAAGAAAGTGCTAAAATGTTACATAGAACCCGTTCTGCTGTATGGCAGCGAATCTTGGAATGTTAGTGAACAAATTAAAAAGAATTTGGAAGCAACAGAGATGTGGTTTCTGAGAGAATGTTATGAATACCTTGGATAACCGGAGTAACTAACAAAGATTGCTTGAAAGAAGCTAATGAAAGTAGATCTCTATATACAAAAACAAACGAAGGAAACACACTGTTCTTTGGCCACGTAATGAGAAGAGAGGCACTGGAAAACATCGTGATAACCGGAATGATCAGTGGAAAGAGGGGTAGGGGCAGACCAAGAGAGATGATTCTGGATGGGCTGAAGCCATGGCATAGAGGGATATCATTAAGAGAGCTGTTTCAGGCAACCAGGGTTCGTGATCTGTGGAGATGCATGAGCGCCTACACCAACTGGCAGGGCACATGGTGATGAGGATGTTGTTGTCTGTGCCTGAGCCACGGACGCAAAGATGAAAAGCAGACATTCGGTTTCCACCTCTGATGAATGTGCTAATGAGACATGTGAGTGGACAAGACATCTTTATGGGGATCAGTGTTTATCTTGATTCTTAATGTGTGGACACAGCTGAAGATGAAGCTAGGCCAGCAAGTCCAGCTTCTTTTAGAAATAATGAGTTCATGGCTAGTCAGAGAACAGATGCAGAAAGATTGATATCTGAGTGTGGAAATGATGAGTTCATCGCTAGTCGGAGAACAGATGCAGAAAGATTGATATCTGAGTGTGGAAATGATGAGTTCATCGCTAGTCGGAGAACAGATGCAGAAAGATTGATATCTGAGTGTGGAGATGATGAGTTCATGGCTAGTCAGAGAACAGATGCAGAAAGATTGATATCTGAGTGTGGAGATAATGGCACATGAATTTGATGTTAACTGAAAGATGCTGCTGAAAACTTTAGTGGAAGATCTGGGCAAGAAAAGGTTGTTTTCTGGTTTGTGCTGCATTCATTACACCAACAACTGTTAATTATCTTTAGACTCATTGGCACTTTATGTGTAATGTTGTCAACATTACACCAACAACTTTTAATTATCTTTAAGTCTCATTAGCACTCTATGTGTCACGTTGCCAAAATTACACCAACAACTGGTAATTTTCTTTAGACTTATTGGCACTCTATGTGTGACATTGCCAAATTTAATCCAACAACTGTTAATTATCTTTAGACTCATTGGCTCTCTATGTGTGACAATGCCAACATTACACCAACAACTGTTAATATTCTTTAGACTTATTGGCACTCCATATGTGATGTTAACATTTCACCAAAAACTTTTTATTATCTTTAGAGTTATAAAATAAAACCTGTTAGGAGTTTAATTTTGTTCTTATAGGTATTTATTATTAATTAAATTAGCATTTAATTCTGAATAATGCTCGCTGACGTGACATGATTATTTATACATTTGTCACAGTGTCATGCAAAAGAAGTGCCTGGGGATTTTTAGCAAAATCTAATCACTAACTTATTAGAACTCTGCACTGGCTGTTTAAGATTAGGACGGAAATCTCATGGAAATGCCCCGAGTGCTGTAATGTCGTTTCTCAAATCAATGAAACTATTGTCAGTTAGTGAGGGTACACCAGGGTCGGATTTAGACCTGATGAGGCCCTAAACTGTTGAAAGCCCTAAGGCCCCTACCATTTTAAATTACACCAACTTTTATTAACAAACTTTAAAATATATGTACACCTTTCAAATGCAGGGATAATGGAGCTATTTTGTCGTTTAATGTTTATTAAAAGAAATCAAGAATGTGTTCGCAAAATTATATAAATTATGTCATCAGGAAAAATATTTTAAGTTGCAACTTTAAATATTTTCTCTTGATTTCCCTTTTTTTTTCTTTGAGTTCCCCTGCAAATTGTGAGGTCCTGTGCTTTAGTTAATTCAGCTGAAACTGAAATCCAGCACTGAAGTGCACTGTGTCTGGACAAGTTTGCTTTAGAGAAAACAGTTTAAGATCTGCTGATGCTGCTGCAGCTTAACCTGTTAATTACCATTTTTCTGAACTATTTCCTAGGCCAGTCAAGTTGCCAGCTAGGTCAGTGGGCGACTCTTTTGAGGACAGAGAAGGAGAATTCATCATCTCCAGACCGTGACAAAAATCCCGATGATGTTGCTTTCCTTGTTGATTTGATGGAGTAAATATTTCTGCCATCAGCTTATCTGTGATGTCTAAGTCTGTGCAATTCCAAGACAACTTTGTATTCATTGACATATGCTTGATTTATTCTGTTACCAAAATGTTCAGCTTTGTTCAACTTGTATATACTTTGTTGATGTTGTTATTAATCAAATGTTTCTTTGATCTAGGCATTTGGGTTGGTTATGACATGAAACTATTGCCTCTACTTCTTCTTCTTCTGTTGCTTCTTCTGCTTCTTTCTTTTTTCTTTTTTTTCTTTCTTCCTTTCTTTTTTCTTTCATTTTTCTTTGTTTCCTTCCTTATTTCTTTCCCTTATGCTGCTGCTTTACCTTCTCCATCTTCTTCTTCTGCTTGTTGTTCCAGTGTTCTTCTGGACAGCTCTTTGTTGCCTAGTACCTGGTGACAATTGTCTCATGACAATGGCTAAGGCAGAATCTAATCGCCCATGTTTTAGTATGTTGAAGTTCTTAATCCCTTTTTTCTTTAGCATTTGTTCAGTACATTCACAAAATATACTGTCTGCTTGTCACATTTTGACAATGCCATGTTAAAGTTTGCAAATAGTGTTGTGTAAGTTGTCAGTTAAAGTTTACAATTAGTGTTATATAAGCTATCAGTTATATGAAGATAATGTGTTCAGATAAGCATTATTGTTTAATGTGTCCCATCCAGACCACACCACCCCTCTTGTGCCGATTGGTCTATAAAATATAGGTCTAGCCCTATATGCCCTATGCGCCTAAAGGTGGGGAAAAGTTCCTTTACTTTTTTTAACTTTTTATCCTTAGCCTGTCCCATTGATTATGAGAGTTGAGATATAAGGAGTTCCTGTTCACTGTCATAAAAGGTATCAAACCAAATTAAAATCAGATCTGGTAAACTTTACATTATCACAGTTACAAATCACAAGTAAATCTAGTCAACTTCACATTGTCATAGTCACAAATAAGGAGTAGGTCTTATTATTACAGTCACAAATGAAAAGTGGATCTAGTCAACTTCACATTATCGTAGTCACAAATGACAGATCTAGTCAACTTCACATTATCACAGTCACAAATGACAGATCTAGTCAACTTCACATTATCATAGTCACAAATGAAAAGTGGATCTAGTCAACTTCCCATTATCACAGTCACAAATGACAGATCTAGTAAACTTCACATTATCACAGTCACAAATGAAAAGTGGATCTAGTCAACTTCACATTATCATAGTCACAAATGACAGATCTAGTCAACTTCACATTATCACAGTCACAAATGACAGATCTAGTCAACTTCACATTATCACAGTCACAAATGACAGATCTAGTCAACTTCACATTATCACAGTCACAAATCTTCTTCCTCTTCTTCGCGTTCACCAGCTGTAAACTCTGGCGGAAGGTTCTGGTTGCTCGTCCACTACTGAACTGCAGTCCTGCTCCAATACCTGAGTGTTGCGTGTGCATCAGTTTTACAGATCTCATTCTCTTGAATACAGACTGTTGGTTCCTTGCCTCTCCGGCAGATGCACTCCGACTTCAAAGGAAGCTCCCCAATTAGTCGTCTCTTACGACATGCTTTTGGGGAGGCAGTGGGTCTATTCTTGTTTTCCTCACAATGGGGCCCCGGAACCCACACGGGGGACAGTCACAAATGACAGATCAATTCAATCAATTCAATTCAATTCGTAAGAAACAAAAATTCCAAAATTTTGACCTCTTTTAGCTGCCTGACGGCTTGCTATATCGAAGTCGGTTCAATGGTGGTGTGATTTGTATTTATTCCTTGCGGCGATCATTTTCGCCTGAGTTTTCTTGCATTTATTGCGTCTTGTTAGCAGCGTGGGCTTGGCGTGCGGCTTGAGGGTTTAGGGTGTGGACATGGCTGTCCTGAGAAGGACAGCCACATGTGCCGGGTGGCCTGGAACGGGATGGGCGGGGTCTGGCTTCTGCTTGTCAGGTTCTGGTGGCGTACTGGCGTCGTTCAGTTGGCGGGATGGTTTTTCCAGAAAGATGGCGGCTCGGTTTTTTGGCTTCTGCTACGTTAGTAGCGTCGTCGTCGCCTTCCTCGGTTGTTTCTCTGGTTGGCAGTGGTACTCGGTGAGACCCATTTTTGCTGTTCTGCGTTCCATACTTGGCTGTTCTCTAGTGCGTAGTGATCTTCCATGTCTCTTATGACCTGTTCCTTGTTGAAGACGTTCAGGGTGGGTTCTTCGGGCGGTGCACTGCTGGCAGTCGGAAACTCCTGCTCTGCTTGTGTGTATTCTTCATCAGATATAATCTCTCCATCTGACTGTTCGGTGTCTGTGATGACTGGGATCTCTTCAGAGTCTTCTTTGTCGGTTTCATCATGTTCTGGTTCGGTCATTTGCGCCTGATGCTTCGTTGTTAGGTTGTCAGTGGAGACGTTTTTGTCGGCCTGGTTGGTATTCGGCTTTTTTGTGGCATTTCTTTCTTTCTCCAGCAGGTCTCTTTCTGTCTTAGCTGCTTGTGCTGCTGTTATGGCTTCTGCGGTGGCTTTCTCTAGCTGGGCGGCTTCGTGGCATGCGGCTTCCCGTGCATTTGTTATCTCGGCCAGCTCCTTCCTTCTCTCCTCTCTCTCTGACTGGCAGCGTATTTCTTCTTCTGCTTGGGTTGCTCTGAGGCTGGTGAGTAGCTCTCTGGTCTTTTGAAGGTTTTCTGCGTCTTCTGACTGTCTGTTTGTTTGCTGGGTAGTGTATGCCAGCCTTTCTGCCTTTAGGTCCTTGATCTCTCCTAGCAGTAGGGAAATCAGTTCAAGGGTCTCCGTTCTTTCAGCGGCGGCGGTGGCTCTTTCTTTCTGGAGCGCTGTGATTTGGCTTCTCAGTTCGTCGACTATTTGCGGTATATCGCTTCGAATAGTGGCGGAGCGTGCCTTATCGTTTTGTTTGTCACTTGGTATGTTTCTTGGTGGTCTTGCCTCCGGCTGTCTGGGCGCCTGACATGTATCTCTGGCTGAGGCGGCTGTCAGTTCTCTCCTGCACTTCTTGAGGTATGGGCACCCCAGGTACCTCGCACTGTGTGAACCTGAGCAGTTGCTGCATTTCCGCTTTTTGTTAGGCTTTTTGAAGTCGCTATCGAGTTTCGCTAGCGGGCACTCCTTGAAGTCGTGGGCCCCCGAGCAGTACCGACAAATAGGGCCACTGCGACAGGTCGCGGCGGTGTGCCACGCCCTGTTGCAGCGTGAGCACTGCATAATGTCTGTGGTGTGGGCTCCAGGCTGCTGCTTAGGTAAGCGGTTGCTTGTAGGTCCCTGCGCCACGACTGGGGCGGCTTTAGGTTGTGGCTCCACGATAGGGGAGGCTTCAGGTGTCGGCGCCTCGAAAGGGGCGGCTTCTGGTGCTGGCGCCACGATGGGGGCGGCTTCAGTTGTTGGCGTAGGTGTGCGAGGCGCCGCGATAGGAGCGCCTGCTGGTGAAGCTGTTGGTACGGCTCTCCTCTTCCTTGGTGTAGGTGCGGCTGTTTGTTGTTTTCCCATGATAGAAAAATCAATGGTGGCAATTGCGATCTGTGGCGAAAGCTAGGTCCCTTCGGAGTCGGCAAGGCTTGTTAGAGTATCCTAAAAAGGACACCCAAGCGTGCTTTCTCCTTAGTTCTCTAGCAATCGTTCAAAATACTGGTTGGTATGACTGGCTCCTCAACAATGCTGTGCTCCCGGGCCGCTAATAACCCACCCGCAGACAAATAACAATAGCGTAGTCGAGCCAAAACTCAGCCGAATGTCAAGCGAGTTCTGACCAGTATCTAGCTATTGATAATCTGGCTACGAATGGATAGTTAGCAAGCTAACGAGAGACACACGTGGCTGTATCGGGCGGTAGAGCGATCGAGCGAGCGAGCGAGAGCTGTGTGCGACTGGGCTGTCGGGCTGCGAATGATGTGCTGAAAAATGACAGATCTAGTCAACTTCACATTATCACAGTCACAAATGACAGATCTAGTCAACTTCACATTATCACAGTCACAAATGACAGATCTAGTCAACTTCACATTATCACAGTCACAAATGAAAAGTGGATCTAGTCAGCTTCACATTACCACATCCAAAAATTACAAATGAATGTTGCAGCTAGAAAGCCTTCATCAGCACATTACATGAATGGACAAGGTTCCAATTAGAAACTAGAATAACAAAATTACTTCACCGAAATATCTCTGAGAGAAATCCACATGTCTCTCTGGCTAGTTGCAGCTCTGAAATGCTTGTGAATACAGGAAATGATACTAGCCGGAAATAGCTGTCACAGACAAGGACCATAATTAACCAAATATGAGATTAAGCTATGTTGGCAGATTTGAATGAGTCGAGATTTGCACAGACCAGAAAACTTTGGAAATAACTTACCACTTATTCATATAAGCGACACACAATGAGGCTAATACAGCACTGCATACCAGTAACAGAAGTTAGGGTTATATAATGGCAAGCCTACAATACATAACATTCATCACCATCATGCATCAGGCTAGGCAGTTTAGGAGGCCCTGGTTTGCATCTGCAGATGATCAGTATCATGGATCCAGTCTGTGTTCTTGTCCTGATTTTGCCTTTAGCCAATTCATCCAAGTATCTAGTCTTTTTCAGCTCTCTATTCTATTTGTTTCAAAAACTCACTTATCATTCCTAGTCTATCCAGAACCTCTGCACTTGAGCCATTACCTGATCTGTTTTCTTGGCAGTGACTGGCTGTAGCATCAAACATCTGTTTGAGCTGTTTCCTGTAGAATAACTTGTATCATTGAATGTTTGTATGAAATATCAGTTTTTTAACCATGGGCTTTTAGCACATCTTTTCTTTCAATTTTCTATCACATGACTTGTTCTGTTATGTTATCACAGCTGATATCTCTAGACATTGTGTGCTCAGTCCACCTATGCAGCAGTCGCACCAATGTGCCTCTACTATTTCTGTTAATGAGAAGGCAGTTATAGGGTCTCTTATCTCAAC